CGGCTAAAATACTTAACAGGCATCAAGGTTTCTTCATTGAGTACGGTCGCATTTTTTCCAGAAATCGATCTTCGTGACTTCTTTTACTCCTGTCACCAAAAACAGTGTGCCTCCTTTCTTCCAAAGTAGAGCTATTCAATTTGCGGCTAAAATACTCAACAGGCATCAAGGTTTCTTCATTGAGTACGGTCGTTTTTTTCCCATAAATCAATCTTCGCGACTTCTTTTACCCCTGGCACCAAAAACAGGGCGCCCCCTTTCTTCAAAAGTAGAGCTATTCAATTTGCGGCTAAAATACTTAACAGGCATCAAGGTTTCTTCATTGAGTACGGTCGCATTTTTTCCAGAAATCGATTTTCGTTACTTCTTTTACTCCTGTCACCAAAAACAGTGTGCCTCCTTTCTTCAAAAGTAGAGCTATTCAATTTGTGGCTAAAATACTCAACAGGCATCAAGGTTTCTTCATTGAGTACGGTCGCATTTTTTCCAGAAATCGATCTTCGTGACTTCTTTTACTCCTGTCACCAAAAACAGTGTGCCTCCTTTCTTCCAAAGTAGAGCTATTCAATTTGCGGCTAAAATACTCAACAGGCATCAAGGTTTCTTCATTGAGTACGGTCGCATTTTTTCCAGAAATCGATTTTCGTTACTTCTTTTACTCCTGTCACCAAAAATAGTGTGCCTCCTTTCTTCAAAAGTAGAGCTATTCAATTTGCGGCTAAAATACTCGACAGGCATCAAGGTTTCTTCATTGAGTACGGTTGCATTTTTTCCAGAAATCGATTTTCGTTACTTTTTTACTCCTGTCACCAAAAACAGTGTGCCTCCTTTCTTCAAGAGTAGAGCTATTCAATTTGCGGCTAAAATAGTCAACAGGCATCAAGGTTTCTTCATTGAGTACGGTCGCATTTTTCCCATAAATCAATCTTCGTGACTTCTTTTAGCCCTGGCACCAAAAACAGTGCGCCCCCTTTCTTCAAAACTAAACCGACTCCATTTCTGGCTAAAATACTCCACACATTTCAAGGTTTTCTTCATTGAGTACTGCCGCATTTTTCCCATAAATCAATCTTCGTGACTTCTTTTAGCCCTGGCACCAAAAACAGTGCGCCCCCTTTCTTCAAAACTAAACCGACTCCATTTCTGGCTAAAATACTCCACACATTTTAAGGTTTCTTCATTGAGTACTGCCGCATTTTTCCCATAAATCAATCTTCGTGACTTCTTTTACTCCTGGCACCAAAAACAGTGCGCCCCCTTTCTTCAAAACTAAACCGACTCCATTTCTGGCTAAAATACTCCACACATTTCAAGGTTTTCTTCATTGAGTACTGCCGCATTTTTCCCATAAATCAATCTTCGTGACTTCTTTTAGCCCTGGCACCAAAAACAGTGCGCCCCCTTTCTTCAAAACTAAACCGACTCCATTTCTGGCTAAAATACTCCACACATTTTAAGGTTTCTTCATTGAGTACTGCCGCATTTTTCCCATAAATCAATCTTCGTGACTTCTTTTACCCCTGGCACCAAAAACAGTGAGCCCCCTTTCTTCAAAACTAAACCGACTCCATTTCTGGCTAAAATACTCCACACATTTCAAGGTTTCTTCATTGAGTACTGCCGCATTTTTCCCATAAATCAATCATCGTGACTTCTTTTACCCCTGGCACCAAAACCAGTGCGCCCCCTTTCTTCAAAAGTAGAGCTATTCAATTTGCGGCTAAAATACTCAACAGGCATCAAGGTTTCTTCATTGAGCACGGTCGCATTTTTTGCAGAAATCGATTTTCGTTACTTCTTTTACTCCTGGCACCAAACACAGGGCGCCCCCTTTCTTCACAGGTAGAGCTATTCAATTTGCGGCTAAAATACTCAACAGGCATCAAGGTTTCTTCATTGAGTACGGTCGCATTTTTTCCAGAAATCGAGTTTCGTTACTTCTTTAACTCCTGTCACTAAAAACAGTGTGCCTCCTTTCTTCAAAAGTAGAGCTATTCAATTTGCGGCTAAAATACTCAACAGGCATCAAGGTTTCTTCATTGAGTACGGTTGCATTTTTTCCAGAAATAGATTTTCGTTACTTCTTTTACTCCTGTCACCAAAAACAGTGTGCCCCCTTTCTTCAAAAGTAGAGCTATTCAATTTGCGGCTAAAATACTCAACAGGCATCAAGGTTTCCTCATTGAGTACGGTCGCATTTTTTCGAGAAATCGATTTTCGTTACTTCTTTTACTCCTGTCACCAAAAACAGTGTGCCTCCTTTCTTCAAAAGTAGAGCTATTCAATTTGCGGCTAAAATACTCGACAGGCATCAAGGTTTCTTCACTGAGTACCGTCGCATTTTTCCCAAGTGCGTTCTCCCGCTTCTGGAATTAAAAATAGTACGCCCCCTTTCTTTAAAACCAGAGTTACTCAATTTCTGGATAAAATACCCCACAGATTTCATGCTTTCTTCAATCAGTATGGTCGCATTTTTCTAGCAATCGATCTTCGCGCCTTCTTCCGCTCCGGGCATTAAAAATAGTACGCTCCTTTTCTTCGAAACTAGAACTACTCAATTTCTGGGTAAAATACCCCACAGATTTCGTGCTTTCTTCAATGAGTATGGTCGCATTTTTCTAGAAATCGAACTTCGCGCCTTCTTCCGCTCCGGGCATCAAAAATAGTACGCTCCTTTTCTTCGAAACTAGAACTACTCAATTTCTGGGTAAAATACCCCACAGATTTCGTGCTTTCTTCAATGAGTATGGTCGCATTTTTCTAGAAATGGACCTTCGCGCCTTCTTTCGCTCCTGGCATCAAAAATAGTACGCTCCTTTTCTTCGAAACTAGAACTACTCAATTTCTGGGTAAAATACCCCACAGATTTCGTGCTTTCTTCAATGAGTATGGCCGCATTTTTCTAGAAATGGACCTTCGCGCCTTCTTTCGCTCCTGGCATCAAAAATAGTACGCTCCTTTTCTTCGAAACTAGAACTACTCAATTTCTGGGTAAAATACCCCACAGATTTCGTGCTTTCTTCAATGAGCATGGTCGCATTTTCCCAGAAATCGAACTTCGCGCCTTCTTCCGCTCCTGGCATCAAAAATAGTACGCTCCTTTTCTTCGAAACTAGAACTACTCAATTTCTGGGTAAAATACCCCACAGATTTCCCGCTTTCTTCAATGAGCATGGTCGCATTTTCCCAGAAATCGATCTTCGCGCCTTCTTCCGCTCCTGGCATCAAAAATAGTACGCTCCTTTTCTTCGAAACTAGAACTACTCAATTTCTGGGTAAAATACCCCACAGATTTCCCGCTTTCTTCAATGAGCATGGTCGCATTTTCCCAGAAATCGAACTTCGCGCCTTCTTCCGCTCCGGGCATCAAAAATAGTACGCTCCTTTTCTTCGAAACTAGAACTACTCAATTTCTGGGTAAAATACCCCACAGATTTCCCGCTTTCTTCAATGAGCATGGTCGCATTTTCCCAGAAATCGATCTTCGCGCCTTCTTCCGCTCCTGGCATCAAAAATAGTACGCTCCTTTTCTTCGAAACTAGAACTACTCAATTTCTGGGTAAAATACCCCACAGATTTCCCGCTTTCTTCAATGAGCATGGTCGCATTTTCCCAGAAATCGATCTTCGCGCCTTCTTCCGCTCCTGGCATCAAAAATAGTACGCTCCTTTTCTTTAAAACTAGAGTTACTCAATTTCTGGGTAAAATACCCCACAGATTTCGTGCTTTCTTCAATGAGCATGGTCGCATTTTCCCAGAAATCGATCTTCGCGCCTTCTTCCGCTCCTGGCATCAAAAATAGTACGCTCCTTTTCTTTAAAACTAGAGTTACTCAATTTCTGGGTAAAGCCAAAGAAGATTTGATGATACTTTTTTAAAGCGTCACATTGGGCTTCAGGGTGTACCGAATTCCGGAAAAAAACATAACACCGGGGGGGGGGGGGGGGGGGGGGGGGGGGGGTATTCTAGTACCCCGCAGTACATTACGAGATTTTCGTGCGTATGATTTCATGATTGTAGGGCGAGGGTCCTGTGATTTACGTTTAGTGTGGGAGGGGGGGGGTATTCTATACCCCTCAGGTCCACCGGTGCGACATTCTCTCCATGGTCCTTTTTTAAAGTATCACAATGGGCTTCGGGGTGTACCGAATTCCGGAAAAAACATAACACCGGGGGGTCTGGGGGGTATGGAATACCCCCCAGTACATTACGAGATTTTCGTGAGTATGATTTCATGATTGCAGGGAGAGGGTCCTGGGATTTTCGTTTAGTGTGGGAGGGGGGGTATTCTATACCCCGCAGTTCATTACGAGATTTTCGTGCGTATGATTTCATGATTGTAGGGAGAGGGTCCTGGGATTTTCGTTTAGTGTGGGAGGGGGGAGGGGGGGTCGTATTCTATAACCCCCCAGGTCCTCCGGTGCGACATTCTCTTGATGGTCCTTTTTTAAAGTATCACAATGGGCTTCAGGGTGTACCTAATTCCGGAAAATCATAACACCGGGGGGTGTGGGGAGTATTCCAATGCCCCCAGGATCAATTTTGCCTTATAGAAGATTTCGTCACAGTTTCGACGTTTCTTCCTTCAGCGTCCCCCCCGAGCAATTTAAAATAATTTACTAAAATGCAGAGAAATCGGATCACAATTTTTGCGATTTGCATTTTACTCACTCAATTTAATGTTTATTAAAATGAGTGCAATTTATTTGATTTATCATCGACGGCGCATATAATTACATTGCGGCGACGATGATTGCAGTGAAAGTAAATTGGAATAAGGCACATTGAGAATGAATATCAACATCACGATTAATAATTTTCGATGTTTGTATTATTCGTTATTAATTATTCACTTTCACCCGTGCAAAAAAATCAAAGCGAATTACGTAACGCGTGTTTATACAAATTTTTATTGGCGAAACAATCCCCACTTTACCCCCTTTTTAGATCTTCATCTTCATGCACGATCTGTATGCAGGAAGGAAGTTTTTAATCTGCCCCACCTGAAAGGAGTTGATACTACCAGTTTACCGCATAATTCTGTTGTGTACGGGAGTTCATCCCGCTCTTGGCGACTTTGTGCGGCAGTTTTTTTTTTTTGGAATAATTATCCCAAACTTGGGAACGATGGACTTCGAGACGTGAGTATTTTTAATTTTTTTTAAAACTGATTTTTGGCAATGGGGGGCAAGGGGGCTCGGTGTTTTGCTGAAGAAACAAAAATTTTAAAAATTGCACCGGCGTTCCCTTGCACGATTTACATGGGAATTCAACGACCACCTCATTAACATTCTCAGCTTAAAATTCTGTGACAAAACTTTTTCCCATTATCATAGCTGGTTACGTAAGTGCCACTTTCTCGAGATCTGGCGGTTACCTTGATATCGGTCATTGGAATCCTCATTCTGTGTCACAACCTGTTATTACGTAAGCGTAATTTAATTGTCTGGCACGCACTTAATTACGAAAATTTCACCTTTTTCCCAGTCGCTGCGAAAATTTGCAATGATCGTCAATAACGATTAGTTCCGCGTTATTAACTGAGCGTGAACACATACGGAAATCGGAAACTCATTTGCGAGGGAACTAATTTCGTAATAACCGGAAAAACAGCTTAACGGCGCGCTCACCGTCCAGGATGGATAGGAAAGAAAGTCAATGTTGCGTAATTGGATACAAATCGTCACCGGATAATTTCAATTTTATTGCATGTCAAACAAAAGTCACATCATCCATTTTTTTTAAAAGATTATGCCTATACTAAAATGTCACATGGTTAACTTGGGAATAAATGCAGTATGCTTCATTTTTTGAAAAAGCCCACTGCAAAATGGCACCTAAAAAAATAGTTTCTTTAAACTTTTTGAAATTCGTCTTCTGAAATTGTATTTATATGGGACATTACCAAAGGGGATGTCTTCAAGACCAAACTGTATGGGAAATGGGTCCCAAAATTCCCCAAGAAAAGCTGGAAGCGAATGCGATTAGCTTTTCAGTGGTACATTTTTTGAAAAGGGAAACTAAGCTTATAGAAATCACCAAAACAGGAAATTGTAATGGGGTAACACCAATGGGGATGTTTTCTTTAAGACCAAGCTGAACGAAAAATGATTTTTTGATTGTGATCTGCTTCTCATCACCATTTTTTTTTAAAAAAGGTGGCTTGGATTGCAAAATTGAACCACCTAAAATGATGATGAAACGCTAATACTTTCAAAAATGCTACAGAGAAAGTCGTTTGTTTAAAAAAATTCCTTCCCAGTCGCTTCTAGCTTCACCAGGTAGCTTTCCGGAGAGATAGTCGCCTACTATGTAATTTTTTAGTAGCTTCATTGATGTTGCCCCTTGTTTCTTGACCCCCCCCCCCCCAATCATTTGTTTCAAAAAGTCGCTTATCTGAAGCATAACGCATTCGCTTTTAGCTTTACTAGGTAGCGTCCTGGAGAGCTTGTCGCTTACTATGCAAATCTTCATTGGACCTTGGATTAGTAGTGCCTCAGAAATTCTTGTTTCTTGAAATTTGCTCTCTAAAGCATTTATTTCAAAAAATTCTTAGTCTGAAGGGCACCCCAGTTGCTTTTAGCTTCACCAGGTAGTTTTTTTGGTAAGCCAGAAGCAAATGGGATGTGCTTCAGATAAGCGATTTCTTGAAACAAATGACTTTGATGGTAAAATTCAAGAAACAAGGGAAGCACTCCAGAAAGCCACCTGATGAAATCCCCTCGCACATTTTATATTCTCCTGATACAAAATTTGTCACCAGCACTCTAACCTAACCTCAGTATAACTTAACTTTCAATTTTCTCGCCCATTATATTCTCCTGATACCATAACCGCCAGACCTCCCAGTTTGGTATTATTTATTCTTAACGACATGATTACTGAAAAGAGTACCTAGTGCTGAAGGTTTTGAGGGAGAACTTATGACCGAAGGGCCTAGTGGTATACGAATATATTATAACTTTAGGTGAGAAATCTTGTAACAGGAAAATATAATGTGCGAGGAGATTGAAGGTTAGATTAAAGTATTAGTGAGGTTAGGTTATAGTGCTAGTTAAGTTAGGTGAGAAATCTTGTATCAGGAGAATATAATGCGCGAGGAGGCGATTGAAGCGTATGCACTCTAGCCTAACCTCACTAATACTTTCACCTAACGTTTAATCTCCTTGCACATTATATTCTCCTGATACAAGATTTCTCACCTAACCTAACTAGCACTCTAACCTAACCTCACTAATACTTTAACCTAACTGCCAACCTCCTTGCGCATTATATTCTCCTGATACAAGATTTCTCACCTAATCTAAGTACCACTATAACCTAACCTCACTAATACTTTAATCTAACCTTCAATCTCCTCGCACATTATATTTTCCTGATACAAGATTTCTCACCTAACCTAACTAGCACTCTAACCTAACCTCACTAATACTTTAACCTAACCTTCAATCACCTCCTCGCACATTATATTCTCCTGATACAAGATTTCTCACCTAATCTAAGTACCACTTTAACCTAACCTCACTAATACTTTAACCTAACCTTCCATCTCCTCGCACATTATATTTTCCTGATACAAGATTTTTCACCTAACCTAACTAGCACTCTAACCTAACCTCACTAATACTTTAACCTAACTGCCAACCTCCTTGCGCATTATATTCTCCTGATAGATTTCTCACCTAAACTAACTAGCGCAGTAACTTAACCTCACTCAAACTTTAACATAACCTTCAATCACTTCCTCGCACATTATATTCTCCTGATACAAGATTTCTCATCTAACCTAACTAGCACTATAACTTAACCTCACCAATACTTTAACCTAACCTTCAATCAGCTCCTCGCACATTATAGTCTCCTGATACAAGATTTCTCACCTAACCTAAGTACCACTTTAACCTAACCTCACTAATAGTTTAACCTAACCTTCAATCACTTCCTCGCACATTATATTCTCCTGATACAAGATTTCTCACCTAACCTAAGTACCACTTTAACCTAACCTCACTAATACTTTAACCTAACCTTCAATCTCCTCGCACATTATATTCTCCTGATACAAGATTTCTCACCTAACCTAAGTACCACTTAACCTAACCTCACTAATACTTTAACTAACTGCCAACTCCTCGCGCATTATATTCTCCTGATACTCACCTAAACTAACTAGCGCAGTAACTTAACCTCACTCAAACTTTAACATAACCTTCAATCACTTCCTCGCACATTATATTCTCCTGATACAAGATTTCTCATCTAACCTAACTAGCACTATAACTTAACCTCACCAATACTTTAACCTAACCTTCAATCAGCTCCTCGCACATTATAGTCTCCTGATACAAGATTTCTCACCTAACCTAAGTACCACTTTAACCTAACCTCACTAATAGTTTAACCTAACCTTCAATCACTTCCTCGCACATTATATTCTCCTGATACAAGATTTCTCACCTAACCTAAGTACCACTTTAACCTAACCTCACTAATACTTTAACCTAACCTTCAATCTCCTCGCACATTATATTTTCCTGATACAAGATTTCTCAGCTAACCTAACTAGCACTATAACCTAACCTAACCTAATTGTGCTTCAACAAGCGATTTTTTGAAACGAATGACTTAGGAAGCAACATTCAAAAAACAAAAACTTCTGATGCAACACTAACGGAAGGTCTACTAGAGATTTACATAGTAGGCGAAAAATCCCTCCAGAAAGCCACACGCTGAAGCTAAAAGCGAATGGAACGTGCTTCTGATAAGCGATTTTTTGAAACAAAACAGTTAGGAGGCCAAAATAAAAAAAGACATTTCTGAGGCAACACCAATGGAAGGGCTACTAAAGATTTAGACAATAGGCAGTAAGCTCTCCAGAAAGCTATCTCGTGAAACTAAAAGCGAATGGAATTTGAGATTTTTTGAAACAAATGACTAATGGAGCAAAATCAAAAAACAAGAATTTAGCACATCTCATAAGCAATTAAATAGGCGCTCTCCAGAAATCCACCTGGTGCAGGTAAAAGCGAATGGAATGTGTGCTTCAGACAAGCGATTTTGTGAACCAAATGACTTAAGAGACCAAAATTCAAAAAATAAGAATTTTTGAGGTCGCTCCAACTGAAGGTCTACTAAAGATTTACATTGTAGGCGACAAGCTTTCCAGAAAGCTACCCCGTGAAACTAAAGGCGACTGCGATGTGCTTCAGAGAAGCGATTTTTTTAAACAAATTACTTGGGAGGGGGGGGGGAATTTAAGAAACAACAAATTCTGAGGCGCCATCAAAATAAGGTCTACTATAGATTTACATAGTAGTAGTAGTCTTTAGGATGCTGCCTGGTGCAACTAAAAGCGATTGGGAATTTTTTGAAACGCGCGACCTGGGGGGAAAATTCAAGAAACAATATTTCCTGAGCCAACACCTTTGGAAAGTGTAGCAAAGGTTTACCTAGTAGGCTCCCCAAAAAGTTACTTACCAGGTAAAGCAAAACGCTTTTGAGGCAACACCAATGGAAGATTTTTTTGAAACAAATGCCTCAGGGTGGGAAATTCAAGAAACAAGGATTTCTAAGGCCATTCTTAGGGGTATGGTCTTAGAGTCCTGGAATTTGTTGCGTAGCCTATGCCTTGGAGGTGTGTGTCAGATGGCCATCAAAATTCGCTGTCTTAAGGACCCCCCCCCCCCCATGAATTATTTCTTCGATGCTAAAAGTAAAACTTGCATAACTTCTACACGCGGCAACTAACTTGCATGGGCGGAACTGCAAACACTCTCTAGGGGGGGGGGGGGACGGGGGGGGGGGGGGGGGGGGGGAGTGAACACACGTTACACCCTTCATGGCACACTCATGAAAAGCTATCTTTCATTGTACTCTAATTAAAGGTCTCAACAAAAGGCGCAATTTTCTACCAACTACCGCCCTTCTGACCCCTTATCAGAAGGTGGGGTAGGGAGGGGGGGGTTTATCCTTCATAGTACTGTAATAAAAGGTCTCAACGAACCATAGCCCTCCTCCTCGACCCCTTTTCGTGATCGGATATGAGTTCTTATATCTCAAGAACAGAATGTTAGAGAGAGTACTCACAAAGGGCGACTGGGGCGCCGGGAAGAAATATATCCTACAAAGAGAAAATTCAATATTTTGAGAGAGGGATTGATTCTTCTTGTATTACATAGCGGAGATTTTGAATGTATGCTCGGCGGGCGGCGGCCTTTAAATGCTGATGTGTAAAGAGCCCCCTTCCCATTAATCATGTTTTTAAAATAGCATCGACACTTAAAAAGTGTCCGTTCTAAAAGTGCACGGACGCCTACAATCAGACAGATCTAAACTGGAATGCTGAGAGCGCATTAGAAAGAGGCGAAGAAAGTGAATGGTAATCCCATTCTTTCCTCCTCTTCAAGGATTGGCGTCGAAAAATGCACGAAATCGAAAGGAATCAAAACGGCTCCTCCAAATAGACAACACATCAACACTTTCACTTCCAAATATTCACTTCCGCAATTTCTTTCTGTGCCAGCGGTACGACTGCATAACCCAAATGACTCAAGGACTCGGCATCGACACACTTTCTTTAAATTCAATATTTTCCAATGTCGTAACGAACGTTTATCCATCAATTTTTGGGGACTTACGCAATTCGCGTTTCGGCGAGTACAATGCACACGGATTCATTTCTCTAATTTTTCGCCTAAACGCACGATGGCGCACGTGGACGGCGGTCGCTTTCTACTCAGGCGGGCGCTAGAAGATTAACCTTGTTCAAGGTACTTTAAAGTTAATTGCAGTTCACTTACGTAACGCGCCTCGATTTAATTTGTGATGATTGCGTACCAGAAACAAACAAAAAGAATGAATATTCTATTTCCTTTTTGTGGGTACCTATTACATAATTACTGTGCTCCTGATATTACTTCCTTGAGTGAATACAACAGAACATAATTTGTAAGGGTCTTTGGTTTGGACGCTCCTGATTTGTCTCCTGGAAATACTTTTAAAAAGTGGGTATTTATAAATTCTAGGAGTACCAGGAGAACATAATTGTAAGGATTTTAATGAACGAAGTGTCCATCAATAGTTTGAATAGGAATTTTCTAACGAAATACGACAAGAGAACACAATATGCCACAAACGTTTAGTCACTATTAGTGCATACTTGGTTTCTGTACTCCTAATACAATTGTTTCTGTAGCAATTGTATTAACAGAACAACAGGACGCTTTTGTGGGACGGCCTGTAGAATCCATAATTTCAAACAGTTCCAAGAAAGTTACAGCCCTTTGAATTTTCTTTCGAAATTGGTTTCTAGTCCATAACTTTTGATTGAGAAGTCCCATCGAAAAAGTACGAATTGTTTTGGATTCTACGCACCAAAATTAATAAGAAAAAGTGTTTTCCCGAGAAATTTTGGTGCAGTCGATTTTTGGTTAAAAAGGAAGGTTATACACTGCCTTCTTTTTGAGGCCCGAAAAAAAATTGCCTCAGATCGACGGTTCGGTATCAGGAGAACATAACATGAGCCCACTTGATGTTGGCAAAGTGGTAATTTAAATATTCTTAGTTTCTGCCCTCCTGATCTTTCTGTAGCAATCGTAGTAACACAACACGACGCTTGAGTAGGACTCTGACAAGAAAGACGACTATGCATGTTTAAAATCGTGCTCCCCTTTTAAAGATTCCGGTATCCGGAGGACATAACGTGCAGGATTTTAGTTGGTAAAGTGGTCTATTTCTGAACAGAACATAATATCGCTTGTGTGAGACTTTGACGATGACGGGTGCACGTCTAATATCGTGCTCCCCTTTTAAAGATTCCGGTAATTTAAATATTGTTGGTTTCTGCACTCCTGATACAATTATTTCTGTGACAATTATAGCGATAGAACATGACGCTTGAGTGGACCTTTGACAATGAAGGACGACTAAAAGAGTCTAGTTTCAGGAGAACACGCACGTGCAGGATTTTAGTTGGTAAAGTGGTCATTAAAAAATTCTTACTTTCTGCACTCTTCATATAATTATTTCTGTAGTAATAGAACATGACGCTTCAGTGGGACTTTGATAATGACGGACGACTATGCACGTTTAATTAGAGATTCCGGTATCAGGAGAACATAACGTGCAGGATTTTACGTAAAGTGTCAGGAAAACATATCATGTGCAGACTCTTAGTTGGTAAAGTGGAAATTTAAATACTCTTAGCTTTCTACATTCCTAATAAAATTATTTCTGAAACAATTGGGGTAACAGAACAACATGACGCTTGAGTGGCACTTTTATGATGACGGACGACTATGCACTTTAACATCGCGCTCCTCTTTTAAAGATTACGGTATCAGGAAAACATAACATGTGCAGATTTGTAGTTGGCAGGGTGGTAATTTAAATATTTTTAGTTTCTGCACTCCCGATACAATTATTTCTGTAGCAATTGTAGTAACAGAACAACATGGCGCTTGAGTAGGTCTTTGACAATGAAAGACGACTATGCATGTTTAGTGTCTGCACTCCTGATAACCAATTTCGGTAATCGTTATAGAAGACTATGCTATCAGGAGAACATAACGTGCGAAAGTTTTTAATCAGTGAAGAGATTCTTCGTTTTTGGACTCTTGATACAATTATGTCCATACAAAGTGGCACTTGAGAGAGCTTTTGACACGGCTCTCTTTAGTCAGGAGAGTGGCCATTTAAACATTCGTAGTTGGGCTCCTGATACAACTGGTTCTCTAAAAATTCTAGCAACAGGACAACATCAAGATTTAATATGCATTTTCCACTGAAGTACGACTATACTCCTTAAATTTTGTGCTCCTGATAATATTTCTAAAACAAATTCTGGTATCAGGAGAACAGAGTACGCGGCCTAAGACTAATTTTTACTTCTCATTGAGATTAGAGTAGATGCTGTTGGTACTTTGTTAAAGGATTTCTCCTGATACCAAAACCTTTTCAAGCAATTAATATCAGGAGCACAGCTAAGTAAAATTAAATTCAAAAGATTAATTTTTTGCAATTTCAGATGACATCAAAATGTCTTCCCGAAACGCACTGGACTACGGAAGAAGCGGTCACGTCATGCCCAACAGGCCCCCCGATCAGGAACAACAATGGTGCTTGAAACGTTAATTGTCTCGTCAAGTATAAAAACGATAAGCCTAGTGGGCCAGTCGCTCTGGTTGATTCCGCTGCTGCTCGCAGGCGTCGCCTACTACAACTACGACAAGTACGATCCCGAAGCGCATCCGCTAAATCAGCAGAACCTGCACGCCGAGTATGATTTCGTGGTTATCGGCGGCGGATCGGCCGGCGCCGTCGTCGCCTCGCGCCTCTCGGAGGTTTACAACTGGCGGGTGCTCCTGCTCGAGGCCGGTCCCGACGAGAACGAGCTGACCGACGTGCCGTCGCTCTCCGCCTACCTGCAGCTGTCGAAGCTCGATTGGGCGTACCAAATCGAACCCACGGGAAAGGCGTGCTTGGGGATGAAGGGCGGCAGGTGCAACTGGCCCCGGGGGAAGGTGCTGGGAGGATCGAGCGTGCTGAACTATATGCTCTACGTGAGAGGAAACAGGCGCGACTATGACATGTGGGAGTCGTTGGGGAATCCGGGGTGGAATTACGACAACGTGCTGAAGTACTTCATGAAGTCCGAGGACAACCGCAATCCGTACCTGCAGAAGACGCCGTATCACGGCAAAGGTGGACTGTTAACCGTGCAGGAGTCTCCGTGGCGTACTCCGCTTGTGGTAGCCTTTGTTCAGGCGGGTCGCGAGTTAGGCTACCCCATGAGGGACATCAACGGAGCGGAACAAGCGGGGTTTATGATCGCGCAGGGCACGATCAGGAGGGGGTCGAGATGCTCAACGGCCAAAGCCTTCCTGCGGCCCGTGCACTTGAGGAAAAACCTCCACATAGCTCTCAACTCCTACGTCACCCGCATACTCATCGACCCCATCGCGATGCACGCTTACGGCGTTGAGTTCTACCGAAACGGACGGCGGCACGTGGTCAAGGCCAGCAAGGAGGTGATCCTCTCCGCCGGCGCGATTAACTCGCCGCAGGTGCTGATGCTGTCGGGAATCGGCCCCGAAGAGCATCTGACCCAGATGAAGATTCCGGTGCTGAAAAACCTGCGCGTCGGTGAAAACCTCCAAGACCACGTCGCGATGGGCGGCTTGACCTTCATGGTCGATAAACCGATCGCGATCGTGCAAGATCGATTCCAGGCGTTCGGCATGACGATGAAGTACGTGATCGGAGGCAAAGGTCCCATGACCACGCTGGGAGGTGTCGAAGGTTACGCTTTCATGAACACCTACCTGGGGAACCGATCCTGGCCCGACATCCAATTCCACATGGCACCTGCCAGCATTAACTCCGACGGAGGAAGACGCGTGCGGAAAATCTTGGGTTTGACCGACGAGCTCTACAACGCCGTCTACAGGCCGATTTCAAACATGGACTCCTGGACGATAATGCCGCTACTGTTAAGGCCGAGATCAAGGGGGTGGGTTAGGTTGAAGAGCAAAAACCCGTTTCGGTACCCGATCATTCACGCAAACTACTTTGACGACCCCTTCGATGTCACCACCTTGGTGGAGGGGGCGAAGCTGGCCGTGAAGATTAGCGAAGCCGACGCGTTCAAGCAGTTTGGTTCGCGGCTATACCAAACCAAGTTCCCCAACTGTCGGAATTTGGAGTTCGGCAGTGACGCCTACTGGGAGTGCCACATACGCACCATGAGTTTCACAGTGTACCATCCCGTAGGAACCTGCAAAATGGGACCGGCATGGGATCCCACCGCCGTGGTGGATCCAAGACTGCGCGTGTACGGACTTAAGGGACTGAGAGTGATAGATGCCTCCATAATGCCCACGATTCCCAGTGGGAACACTAACGCCCCTACCATAATGGTGGGCGAGAAAGGGGCCGATTTAGTGAAAGAGGACTGGCTGCGCCGAAAACGGTAGCAAAAGTGCCATATCTTTCATTCTAATTGCCACGATTGTTATAATTGTACATACTTGTTAATTAAATGCATAGTTTTTTTTCTACTTAATTTACGCGTGGGTAGGCAACCCGTCAATCACACTTGCACGATTAGTTGCCTACCGGAAAATGGGTCTAGTGAACACCTTGAACGTTTTGTAAGTCATAGTTACTCATGCCCATTATAGCCAATTATGTCAAATTACATCACATCCACTTAATTACATAGTTACATTGACAGATAATGAATTATGGAAAAACCTAGACGTCTACACGTAGAACGAAAAGGGATTTTGTAGAACATCCAGTATCCCATTAGGCGGTCAAATTGCAATCCATTGCAAAAAGTCGCATAATTTGATCTTCGCCCTTGGGAAAACTAATTAATTAATTAAAAAACCAATTACACCTCAAAGGCTAAGCAACCCGTTCCCGAATGAAAGCAGTACCTAAACTGTTTTAATGAGGTTCTAAAATTAAGAACCCAGGTTTCAAAATTATGGGCAATCTAATGATACTCAAAATTAGGCCCACTGATTACTAATTAAGCGAATATAATTTGAATAATCAAGTGGTAATGGGTCGGAGGTGCAATTTAGTGTGTTTTTTTGATACTCAAAATTAAGCGCTTAATTAGAAATTAGGAATCTTATACACTAATTACTAATTCCCAAAATTAAGTGTATTAATTAGAAATCAAAAATCAAATTATTTGTACAGTAAACCGCGACGGAAAATCCAATTTGACTTAATTATAATAAATTAATTAAAACGAATTATATAATTCCAAAAATTAGGCACATTAATTACAAATTGGGTGTACGTAAGCATGAAGGTATATTTACACTCAAAAGTGTATAATTATGCACGCCCCCTCAGCGAAACTAGTTAATTAAGTACGTCCCAAATTTAAAAACAAAATTAGTGCTTAAAACGCACTTACCCAAATTACATATACACCTTAATTGGGTGACGTGGGAAATTAAGGTTGATTATGCGCACCCCAATTTCGACATCAAGTAAAAAGTAACACGTTGAAATAATGGGTGCCCCCCTCCCCGCCCCCGCGTGATAAGTTCCAAAATTAAAAGCAAAATTGCCGCTTTCAAGCGGAAAATTAGAAGCATTTAATTAAATTCTCAATGTATCTTAATTGCGGAATTATTGATTTAATTCAAATTAGAAGCACCACAATTCTATATCATTGAAAAAGTAAAATTTTGCTATGCAGCCCCCTCCCTCCCGCAATACGTGCCAAATTAAAAACACGAATCTTAATTGGGTAACGTGCGCAATTATGGTCCGATGAAATTACGGAATTACTGATTTAATTCAAATTAGAAGCACGACAATTTTATATCGACCAAAAAGTAAAATTTTGCTATGAAGCCCCCTCCTCCCGCAATACGTTCCAAAATTAAAAACAAAATTGCCGCTTTAAAGCGCAAAATTAGGAGCATTTAATTAAATTCTCAATGTATCTTAATTGCGGAATTACTGATTTAATTCAAATTAGAAGCACCACATTCTATATCAACCAAAAAGTAAAATTTTGGAACTATGCCCCCTCTCCATTCATAGGTAATGCGTACCAATTAAAACCAAAATTTCGGCTTTAAAATTGTAATTTTGTAAATTAGGCGACCTTAATTAAATTCTATAGTAGGCCCGAATTGAGCGACCTATAAAATTACCGTCGGGTTACGGTACTGAATTAGGGACCGACTTAATACAAATTATGCGCACACCGATTCCATTATCAATCACAAAGTGGCATGTTGAAATATGCCGACAACCCCCCCCCCCCCTCCCCTCCCACAGCGCGAGTGGAAAATTCCACACGTTACAAAGGCAGTTTAGAGTTGTCAATTAATCGCACTTAATGAAATTCTCTGTTGTACTCTAATTAGGCGAAGGGTATAATTAGGTTCTGGTGAATTTAATTTCGCAATCAAGAAGCAAATTTTTGGAAATATGTGCCCCCCCCCCCCTTCAATTGCATTCTATGTGGGCACTAACTGAACGATTTATAAAATTAGGGTTTGGTCAAGCTACTGAATTAAGAACACTTAACTAAATTATATGTAGACCTTAATTGGGTGAAAATTAAGGTCAGGTGAAGTAACTTGATTAGACGCACCCCAATTTGCTTATCAATTAAAAAGCAACAATTAATACGCGTAATAAGATCTAAAATTAAAAACAAAATTAAAGTTGTAAATTAGGCGCACTTAATTAAATTCTCTGTGAACAACAATTAAGTTAAATATGAAATTAGTGGTGAAGTTACAGGATTAGGTACTCACAATACAAATTAAGCACACGCCAATTCCATAAAAAATGAAATTTTGTTATAACGCGTTGGTTGAAGCGGTAAATTAGGCGCATTTAATTGCTGACATGTAAAATTATGGGCCGCTGAAGTTGCGGAATTGATTTAATAGAAATTAGACGCACGCCAATTCCGTTATCAATCAAAAAGTAAATTTTTTGAAATATGTGCCCCTCCCCCTACACGTAATACCTTGCAAAATTAAAAACAAAGTTGCAGCTTTAAAGGGGTAAATTAGGCGCAATTAATTAAATTCTCAATTGACCTTAATTAGAGACTGATTTAATACAAATCAGGCGCCCGCCAATTCCACAACAATAAAAAAGTAAGATTTTGGAATAATGCGCCCCCTCGCCCTCGTGTTCCAAAAACAAAATTTGCGCTTTACAGTTATAAATTGGGCGCACTTCATTAAATTCTCTACGGACCCTAATTAGGTGACGTGTGAAATTAGAGTCCTGTTAATTTACAGAATTAGCGACAGACTAAATACAAATGAGGCGCATGCCAATGCAATTACCCATAAAAGAGTAAAGTTTTGGAATAATGCACACCCCTACAAGTGTAATACGACACAAAATTAAAACAAAATTTGACGTTTTAAAGTTGTAAATTAGGCGCACTTAATTAAAGGCTCTGGGGCCCTAATTGGGAGACGTGTGAAATTAGGGTCTGGTAAAGTTACTTAATACAAAATAAGCGCAGGACAATTACATTACCAAAAAAAAGTAAAATTTGGAATAACGCACCCCCCTTTCATGCATAATACGATCCAAAATTAATACAAATTAGGCGCACTCAATTAAATTCACTGTGGGTCCTAATTTGGTACCAAACGTGTGAAATAAGGGGTGAAATTACTCTATTAGGAACTGACGATAATACTAATTAGGCGCACGCCAATTCCATTATCAACCAAAAAGTAAATTTTTGGAATTATACGCCCCCTTCCTCCATGCGTAAAACGTTCCAAAATTAAAACAAAGTTCCGACTTTAAAGTGGTAATTTAGGCGCACTTAATTAAATTCTATGGGCTCTAATTAGGGTCTGACGAAGTTACAGGATTGGGGACTGAATTTAAGCGCACATAACACTAAAAAAGTAAAATTTCGAAATTATGCGCCCCTTCACCCCCGTGTAACAGGTTCCAAAATTAAATACAAAGTTGGCTCTTACAGTTGTAAAGTAGGCGCACTTAATGAAATTCTATGGGGGCTCTAATTAGGTGATCAATTAGGTGCCCGTCAATTAAAAAGAAAATTGGCGCCTTAAGGTTGTAAATTAGGCGGACTTAATTAAATTATCTGAGGCTCTAATTAGGGGCATCCGTAAAATACAAAATAGTTGCACGATAATTTCATTAACATCAAAAAGCAAAATTTTGGAAATATGTACCCCACTCCCTCAAGGGGTAATACGTACCAAAAGTAAAAACAAAACTGGCGCCTTAGAGTTGTAAATTAGGATTAATTAAATTTTCTGTCGGCCATTAGGGTGTGAAATTAGGGTCATTGCATAACGATTAAAAAGTAAAATTTTGAAATTATGAGCCCCTCCCTCCACCCTTAATACTATCAAATATTAAAAACAAAGTTGGCGCCTTATAACTGTAAATTAAGTTACATAATTGGGGACTAAGTTAATATAAATTAAGCGCATTTCTATTCACTTATCATATTCAAATTATTGCGACGCAAATTAAATGCACATACATTTAATTATTAATTTTGTAAGGCAAATTTAAACAAAATTAGTAGTGTTTCAAATTAGGCGCACTTAATTAAATTTTCAGTAGACTATAATTGGATCAAGTGCGAAATTACGATGAAGTTACGGAATTAGGGGCTCATTTAATACAAACTAGCCGCACGCTAAATTGAGGAACAATTAAAAAGTAAAATTATGAATTACGAATGAATTATGAATTTAAACACAAAATTAAAGCTGCCAAGTTCCAAATTAGGCGCGCTTAATTAGGGACTGATTTAATACAAATTAGTCGCACAGGTAAGTGGAATGTGATCTACGGTTAGAAAAAATTGAGCGAGATTTTCAAAATCTGTTGTCATAAAAATGGCTAATTAATCAGGTTGAATTCATTGGTTAATTTCCTTAATTGATTTCAATGATAATTACCACATCACCCGGAGGTTGGTGTGAATTAAAGGGAAGGGTCATTAGATGTTTCGTGCGTAAATACAATGCTCATTGAATGCTGATTACACTTTTTTGGTGTAATTATCGACCACTTAAGGAACAAAATAATAATGATCGATCTGTTTGTTTTTTGCCGTTTGACGTAGCGCTTTGAAGTCGAGTTTTTTGAGGGACTTTCAATGGTTATTTACGGAACGAAAAATCCGATGAACTTGCAAGGGCATACGCTATCGTTGTACAAAAAGCCGACATCCGGCTCGAATAATTACACCAACCACAACTCCCAAAGAATGAAAAAGTTGCCATAATAATTAAAACAAACAATTGAATCCCTTACCTAATTATTTATTAATTAAAACTTGACGATCAGGAAACATCTCGGCTTAAGGTAAACGAGTCGGGTGCGTTCTTGCGAAACACTCCTTTCGCAATACGCAAATTTCCATTATTCATCTACACTGTGATTCTTGGAAAAATAAAACGTGAATGCATAAATGAATATCATAAACGAACTACCTTTTGAGATATTTGTAAAGCAAAAATGAAAAATGAAAAACGGTGATTTTTGAGGGGGT